TTTATTTTCCAATAATTTATCCATTTTAATGGACTCGCGTTATCCAGCTCTGCTTTCTCTCCTTCAGTTCCAGTAGACCGTTTCGATATTGAGGGGTCTGCACTTACTCGTTGCTTACTTTTACTGCCAGTCCTAATACCAATCCGACCAATTTCTCGGCTGAGTGCCTATTTTTCAGACTAATAGATTGGCTGCCTGACCAGCTGATAGACCGATAGCCAAATTGACTGATTCATTTGATCGGTCCATTGAGTTCATGCTTCCTTCTGAATTTTGCTCTTGTACCACATGATTGATGCTTGGTAATGTGAATAACACAGTAGAGTTGGGTGAATAATCATTTATTTAAAAATTGCTACAACCAATCAGCACAAGTGTTATATAGTTCGTGTTAAAGCAAGAAAGTAGGAGAAGGAGGGAAGAGCTTGTGTAATGTCAACAAAATACTGCATCCATCCATATTCTGTAAAATAGGAACAAAAATATGATTTGAACGAGATGCGATTGGTTTTCCCTTTAATTCATGCGAGAGGACTAAAGTGCACTTACCGATATTCTGCAGAATTTAATGCAAACGGAATTCAACTGGTCTTATTTAGAGACCGCATTTTGGCATTCATCCAGGGATTGTGTTTTAGTGGTTCCTACTGTTTAATCAAGAGTAGTAGTGACAGTTGATCAGACGTAAGCTGCGGTTACCATTATCTCAACACTTGTTTGATTGGGTCACAAAATACTTAACTCGCTATTCGTCATGTGCGAGAGTGCTTTAAAAAATTCTTCACACTCGAGCACGCGAGAGGAAGTAGAGGAAGAGGGAAAGTATTGAACATACTCCAGATTTAACATGTATTCCACCTTTGGTAACACAAACCATAGGTTTTATCAATGTGCGCCTCAATAGGGATGGTCATGCTTAAAAATTGTCTGTGTTACATCGCATCCCTCATGCCTGAATTCTTTGTGACAGTGGAAGATAAAAGTGTATCAGGAAGGTGGCGATATATTCTGTGTGCTGTATTAAAACATAATGAATGACTGATTAAATAAACAGACGCATTAATGTCATTTATAAGGTTGAAATAGTTGCTTTGGAAGGGAAATTGTGGTATCTAAAGAGAGTGTTTGTGCTGAAAGCAGGAATAACTACATGTCCGAAATTTCCTATTAATCTACGCCTATTTGAAATGAACTTATTATTTTGTCAGCACGAACAAACTTGTTTCCAGTGTTATTTATTAATGACCTGAAAACGCAATGAAATTTGTCGCATACGCCAAGCTTACTGCGATTGCAAATGGGAATTGGGAAAGCCTAGTGACAGTGAATTACCAAATGCACACTCCGTCACATGTCTCCATGCGTGGGAGTTGACATTTTGGCACCAACGTCGAAGCTGAATTGGCAACCTCTATCAGCCTGACAGGATACCCAATGCACACTCATCGCGTGCGCTGACCCCGACGCCTTCTTCATTCAAAATGACTATTCCGAATTCTTCACCTTCGCA